TTATTTAAAATATATCCCCCCCCCCCCCCCAATGAAAGAAAAGACAACTAGGGTGGACGACTAGGCCAAGGGTGGTGGCTAGCTGGCTCAGGAAGGTCAGGTGATTAGCTTTGAAGCTAAGCCAGCTCGTTGCATTGATAGGGGAATTAGCTAAATTAAGGAGGGGGTTTGCATATTTTGAGGGAACATTGGTCCATGGAACCAAGTAGGGTTGGCTAGGTGATGTGATTAGCATCTTAGGTCTTAAGAAATGGTTGTGGTAATCAAGCTTTGATTAATCCAAAGGTTTGGATCAAATTTAAGGTTTAGGCTAAAAGCTGGGTTGGGGCCTGGATTTGGACTTGGGCTTGGCTTGGGCTTAATCTAAATCAATTGAATGCTCAAGTTGGTCTTGAAAAATGTCATGATGAGTTTGAAAATCAAATTTTGTGGAATTGGATTAGTTATGTGGCTTAAGTTGATGAAATTTGGCTTTGGGTCAATTTGGGGTAGTTTACTTGGACTTGGATTTTGGGTTTGCAATTAGGTGTAATTAAGCTTGAATTTAGTTTAAATTGGGCTTAAATATGATGATATTTAGTTTGAATTTGAAATTGGGTGAGTTTGAAATTACTTTGGTGAAAATTGGGAGTGATTTGGGAGTTTTTGGAAGTTTTAAGGGTAATTTGGGAATTTTGACCAATTTTGTGGATTTTGGCAATTTTTAGGGTATTAGAGATATTTTTGTAATTTTGAGGATTTTGGCAGTGTTTGGGTAATTAGGGCAATTTAAAGTGGTTCAATATGATTTTGGTGAAGAATTGGGAGTTCGGGTAATTTTAGGAATTTTAGAGTTTCAGTGGCATTTTGATAATTTTAGGGAAATTTGGGGGTAGAAGGCCAGGGTTGGGTATTTTGGTGGAATTGAAATTAGTTGGATATGTGATCATGCCAACCATGAAGCCACCCCCTAGAGCCGTGAAACCCATAGGAGAACTCATTTTGGATCCTTTACATGTTGATCCTAGCCATCTTAGCTAAAGGCCCGCCCACATGAGTTACCAAAATTGGTTAGAAAAAAAAGTGCAAGTACAAGTGATTGGTAGTGTTAGAATGTGTGAGGTATTGTGGTGAGCTCAAATATGTGTAACCAAGCCACCCAGGGCTGCTCTAAGGTCTCACTGATCATATTGGAACTCATCCTTGAATCTTTGCATGTTGGTCTTAACCATCTCAAGTGAGAAATGAGGGTTTAGGGCCACCCATGTGAGATGTCACTGTTTTCATTAGTTATTCTTTCTTTTATTTTAAAATGAGTGGTCAGCTTGTCGATCGTCGTATACTTCCCTTTTTCGAATAAGTCTCCCTCCTGAATCCGATCAGTGATTCGAAAAGGAGAGGAATCGAATAAGAAGGGACGTACGATAAAATGACAAACAAGAGAAAACACAAAACGTGGAGAGTCTACGTGTGGTAAACCTCGTACGTATAGGTTAAGAGTGTCCACCCAAACAAGATCGAGCGAAAGCAGCTTAAACCGATATCCGCAAAAGAATTCCTACATAAACTACCCAAAACCAGAGAGTCAGGTGTAGGTGTTTGTTTTGGAGTCAAGAGCACTCCCAAGGGGACGTATACTAATTGGTTGATTACATATTGGGGGTGCCCAAGGATACTCTCGATAAAAGGAGTTTCGCTTGGATTATCGTGAATCTGGGGCAATAGGTACTCCAATGAAGGTTATTTCGTGTGAGAACAGTCCCGATGCTTCAAAGCTCACGCAAAGCAATCGGGCATAGAGTGAGTCTCCCACATCTCGAATGGATAGCGCCTCATCGACATACGGAGCCCACAGAATAACCTAAATCATCTTGATGGGGATATCCCAACACGTTGAAGCACGCCCGGGCCATAAGGGCAGAGGACAAATCGTCATATCCCAAATGGGCAGCAACTCATCGGTATCAGACCGTCAAAATGATATCAACGAAGTCAAAGAGCAACAGGGCTCAACAACAGGAAGGTAAAGTGATCCTATAAAGATAGAGGTAACTAGGTTGGGGTACCACGGACCTGTCATCAACAGCTACTAGGACCCTAAGTCTACCCGGTCCTGAAGGTAGTCGACCTAACACGTCCGAAGATTCCCGATCAGCAATCTGTGAATTGCGTCGTCCACGGGAATCTCAGTAGTCTTAAGTCCAAAGGAAGAAAAATTTATCCTATGAATAAATGTTGGAGCTCCAAGAGGCTTATACCTGCCAAAGTGGTGAGGATGCCTCGGGAAAGAAAGAAGGGGAGATTCAACTACAAAGCTGGAAACGCTCCAAACAAAAGGACTTATACCCCGTCTAGGTCGGGGAGACTTCTAACACCCTAGACGCACTATACAACCACCTATATAAAGGTATACTGGATCAGTCAAATTGGAGAAGGACGGGGACTCATCCTCGGGAAATGCATATATGATGCAGTTATCTAGAACGGTCCTTAAGTATTGTGGATGTCTTATTAATATATGCAGGAAAGTAAAATTGCAATTTTTAAATCCTGAATATTTTAATCTTAAATTTTAATTATCTTGAATATTTTATTTAAGAATTTTGTAGAAAATTAGGAATTTAAGTTCTAAAGTGTCTATGTTGCATCGTGAAATCCTAAATCACAAAAAAAATAAGGAAAATAATTCAAGCAAGTGCAGGCATGCATCATGGTCCAAAAAGCAAAATAAGCCAAATAAAATACTAAGAGGTTGGTGTCGTTGGGCCGACAACATATCCCAAAAAATAAAAAGAGCGGTCGGACTCTGCACTATATATCAATGTAAAAAAGCAGAATTAAGATACGAGACACGAGCATCAGCTCTTGGTCCCCTCCACGTAGTTCCCGCGCCAAACACCTCAAAACTCGTGCTTGTATCTTATTCTGCAACAGAACTCTCATAGATTCTAAAAGTACATAGGAAAAAGAAAAGACTCAATTCTACGTGAAAATAAGTGTTAGCGGGAAAGCCCACATGCATATGATATATAATGAGCCATGCCTTATAAGTGGGGAGCTAAATAACACCTGCAAACACATTGTTAGAAATCATTACTTGCTCCCCCCGTAATAGTACATGTGTGTGTGTGCATATAAATAGGCATGGCTCCCAGCAGAAGAACGCACTAACACACTACCATACATATGAGGCATGTAGTCACACCACAAACACAGACACAAAAAACATAATGCAAAAGAAAGATGTCTGGCTAGGTCAACCAATCCAGCAGAGAACAATAGCCAGGCATCAAAAAGTCTACCTAGCATCCTAAATCCTAGCCTAACACACCATCTATCAAGAAAGTGCATCAACATAGTATCTAAGTGTGGGGTAGGTCTGGGTATAGTATGACTTTGACGGGATAACCAGCCAACTCATCAAAACCGTCCCCACCCTCATGACCACTGCCTCTCTACCCTCCCAGTTCTGGGGCGATACATTACTCACGACATGCATCTCAGTAACCGCCTGCCCTCAACTACTACAGCCTCCAAATCCAACTTTTTCATCATCGCATACCATCCTACAATCACCTCAAAATACTTGGATGTCTATGCTACCCTTGGCTTTCACCATATGCTCAACACAAACTTCCTCCACTATCTATACCATGTGTATTCCTTAGCCATACCATCTACCACTATCTATATCTCTCGTCACGTCCTCTTCAATGAACAAATATTTCTTTTCCACCAAGTTCCTACCACCACAACTCATTACCCTTCCTCCACTACTTCTCACACCCACTTAGAGCCTACCAAATTACATTAAGAATTACTCCGTCCCAGCATCAGAGAATCCCACACTACAAACACCATCAAACATCAACTTCAGCTTTCTTTCACCCATAATCCAGCAACAAAAACTGCCACCACCCATACACCCTAACAAACTACTCCCACTCCCACCCACATCCCTTCATCCCTTCTTTCCATGGAAACACGCCTCAAAACAAGTAAACTCAAACAATGCCAAATCCTCAACCTCACTCATCAAACACAATCCAAACCAACATGTTATTGCTCTGCCATCAAACATCAAAATTGGCATGGAGCTACATATGTTCACTGAATTCCAAGCCTTACAATCCCAGGGAACCTGGTTTCTTGTTCCACCGTCACCCCACCAAAATGTTCTCGGCTGCAAATGGACTTATCACACCAAACTCAATGCCGACGGGTCCATAGCTCACTACAAAGCCTGCTTGGTAGCCCAAGGCTTCAAGCAACAACATGGCCTTGACTACACCGAAACGTTCAGCCCAATTGCCAAACTTCTTACCATTTCAGTCTTTATTACAGTCGCCCTCACTCATCAATGGCCCATTCTCCAACTCAATGTGTCCAAACACGAGCAACTCACTGAAACTATTCATATGTCGCAACCTCAAGGATTTGTTCATGCCACCCATTCTCATCATGCCCACCTCCTAAAGAAAGCTTTGTATGACCTCAAACAAGCCCATGACAGTTGTTTGCTAT